GGGGGAGGGGGCGGCGGCGCGCGCGGGGTCGCGGGAGGGTCACGTGGGTGGCGGGCTCGGGGCGGGGAGTCTGGGGCCACCTCGGTATGAGGGTGACCCTCTGCGTGCTTCGGGTTAGGGGTTTACTCAGAGGGGGTCCCCGAAAGCCAGACTTTGCATTGGACGAGGGTTGGTAGCCTTGGGGGTCGCCGAGTCCCAGTCCTGAACTTGCATCAGGTCTCTCTTAGAATAGGAGGGTTGCAGGCTCGGAGTTCCCCAGAACCATTCCTGAGTGCACTGGAGGATTCCTCTAGGACCCACAAAGCTCGCAGTTTGGGACAGTGTCCCCAAGAGCCACCCCCAAACTTGCACTCTCCATTTCCATTCAGGAAATACGGCTTTGTGTTCTGATGGACCACCTCAGAATCCCGGAAGGGTTGTGATTTGAAGAGGTCTGGTTTTGTAGAGGCCTGAGCTTGGGCATTATGAGGATGTCCACAAGATCCACTTCTGTGTATGCAGTCGAAGATCCCTCTTAGGAGACATGAAGGCTTGCAGTCTGTTAGGGAACTGCTCTTAGGGCTAATGAGGACTCCCGGCCTGCAAGATTTCAAAAAGGATGAGGTCAGGGGTACTGGGAGTCCCTTCTTGGAACCCTTGAGAGCTTGTAATCTTAGGGTCCCCAAGAGCCACGTCAGGGTTTGCAAAAGTTGCATTCAAGGATGCTAGGGGCCACTATTAGAGGGGGTTCGAAGAGGCAACACATGCTTAGAAAGTGGGGACCCAGCTTAGCACATACTTGGACCCTCCCAGAAGTTCGGCACCTACCTTATAGGATCTCGCTTTACACACCTATACTCCCATTTCCACTCAAGACAGGTCCCCAAACCAAACATTTTTGTCTCTTCCCTGGGAAGGGATTTAGTGATGCGTGGGGAGAAGTCCTTCCTCTTGAATCTGGTTGGTAAAGAGAGGACCCTTTGTTGGTGAGCCTGGGCCTTGGAGTGAGATGGGGAAGGCGGACACCAGGCACCTGCTCTTTACTGTTGGAGTTAGTTCAGAAGAATTGTCTGTCTCCCTTTGGGAACGTGACTTGTTTGGTGACATGTGCCGGTGTGACCCAGCTCAACTTTGCTCACAACCCCACTCCCTCTCTTCATCTAAAAGTTAAATGGCCCAGGCTCACAATGGATGGTGTTGCCCAGGGGTTGTCCTGGGGCCTCTGGGCTAAGGACTGGATCCTCCCAAGGTGGGAGAAACCATTGGATTACTACCCTCTCCGCTGTCTTTGCCTTCCTCACTGCAAGGTGGGGTGGATTCTAGCATGCCCCACAGTGTTGATTAAGACGCATCTTACCCTGGGGTGGTGCTGTCACTTGCTGTCAAGGATAAGCACATTTTTGGTTCTTATAGTAGACTAGTTTGGTTCCTGAGTTCAGGATTTGGGGTGTGTGTTTGCTCATTTGGGGATGATGTGAAGGTGCTCTGTGCACTCGAAACTCTGCTGTATCCCAGAGGGGCTTTTGTTTTGGTTATATGGGGGTGTCAGGTGCTTTGAAGACAAAAGTTTGGCTGAGATGTCTCCGGATTTTTTGTAAAGATGTCAGAGGTGAGAGACAGGAAAGTTGGAAGGACCACTCTGAAGTCCTGTTTGCTGCCCAGGCGACTTGTGTGAGGTGACCCAGGGTTCCTGTCCTCCTAAGCTGCTGTTTCCTTTGCACTTAGAATAGCCTATGAACGCAGGTTCTGCCATTAGGGGAGAACAGGGAGTCTGCGGGGAGACTTTCCTAAAAGTTTCCAGTGTGTGTATACCCAGAATCCAGAGCCGCCACTCCAGGCCAAGGTTGGGGCGAACTTGAGGGTTGCCTGAGATGGTAACTTGTCTGTACTTCCTACCTCACCCTAGATTGCAGCCAAAATTGGAGGTGATGCTGCTACCACCGTGAATAACAACACTCCCGATTTCGGTTTTGGGGGCCAAAAGAGACAGCTGGAAGATGGAGGTAACTCCTGGTGGTGGCGACAGTGACTGGCTTTCATCCTGGAGGGAAGCCTGGGACTGAGAGGAGTACTTTGTCCCAGTGGGGCTCTAAGACAGGGGAGTCGCCCAGTTTTTTGTTCCATCTGCCACCCTGAGGTATCAGGCAGCTGAGAGAAGGGCAGGTCCATTGTGACCAAGGAAAACTGTAGGTTCTCAAGATTGTTCCTTCCTTGTGGGAGGTGACACAGGGCACAGCATCGCCAAGGTTGCTCCTAAGCAGGGCACTTGTTCCCTGGGTATGTCCAGCTCTAATCTGGAAGGACCCCATGATATTACTAATGTTAAAAGTGAACTTTGTCACTCTGGGCCAGCACCCTCTAACCCTCCATCTCTGCTGTCATACGGGATTGTGGTGACTTTGCCTGGAACATAACGCACCAGCTTTGGGGTTGAGGCGGTGCAGGTGGGTGGTGTCGCATCTGACAGTCTCTCTCATCCACAGACCAGCCAGACAGCAAGAAACTGGCTTCCCAGGGAGACTGTAAGTCCGCTGGTGTGTGGGCATGGGGGCATTGGGTGTCCGGGAGACCTGTGTAGTGGCTCAGAAGGTTTAAGGGTCCTCAAGCCTGTGGAATTTGAAACATTCGAGAGCTTACACAGGGGCTTTCATGGGAAGAGGCCACAGTGCCCTCAGGATGAGATCCAGGCACAGGGCTATGTCTTGGCTACCATTTGCCCCTGGTATAAGCAGGGACATCATGGGTTGGGGTTGTGGAGCCTAAATAGGCTCTAAACTAGGCTCTGCTTTGAATTTCTTTCCTCAGCTATTGGTTCTCAACTGGGACCCATTCATCCTCCCCCCAGGTAAGCTGTTCCTGGTGTCTTTGGTTTGGGTGGTGGCAGTGGGACCAAAGTGTGTGACCATGGGAGCAAAATTGCTCCTTACTGCTGTGCCTGTCCCTCCCTTTCCCCGGCTGGGCATTCAGAAGCACTGGCTCAGACTGGGCACATGCTCCCAGGGTAGTCAGAGCCTGTGGGTCTCTGCTGCCCCGCTGCCTCAGATTGCCTAGGGTGAATCTGACCAGGTTGTCTTTGAATGAGCCTATAATTTCTTGAAATACAATAGACATTGGCTGGAGAATGAGATGAACTGTGTGGTGAGCCTCTTTATTTTTTACTGATGTCTGGACTGTCAATTTGGTATGAAAATGTCCAAGGTGGGGAAGCTGTAACTCAGCCAGTAGAACACCCACCCTGGATTCCCTCCCCAGCACCGGGTTCCAAGAAAACACAGGCAGGGCAGGAGAGATGGCTCAGTGGTTAAGAGCATTGACTGCTCTTCAGAGGACCTGGGTTTAATTCCCAGCACCCACTTGACAGCTCATAACTGTAATTCCAGTTCCAGGGCACCTAACACCCATGGCAAAACACCAATGCACATAAAATATAAAAAAAAAGGAAATTGTTTAGTCTGAACAGTGGTGACACACACCTTTAATCCCAGCATTTGGGAGGCATAAGCAGGCAGATCTCCGAGTTCAAGGTCACCTGATCTACAGAATTAGTTCCTAGGACCGCCAAGACTACACAAAAGAAATCCTGTCTCAAAAAACAAACAAGGACCACAGGCAAGGTGACACGTGTCTCATCCTGGCATGTGGAAGGTAGAGGCAGAGAATCTGTTCAAAGCTACCTGGAACACTGTCTCCAAAACCAAGAAATTCAAGTGCTGCCGGGCATTGGTGCATGCCTTTAATCCTAGCACTGGGGAGGGAGAGACAGGGAGATCTCTGCGCGTTCCAGGCCAGCCTGGTCTATAAGAGCTAGTTTCAGGACAGCTAGGACTATGTCACAGAGAAACCCTGTCTCAGGGAAAAAAGCAAAGAAAAAAGAAATTCAAATGCTTGTTCCTACCTGAGGAAATGGGATGACCCATGCCAATTGTAAACTGATATATTCATTCTTCGCTCTGGCCCTGAAGCTTTTGCACTTGGTTTGTTAGTAACAGTGTACAGCAGAAGTCCTGGAGCTTCAAGGGTCCAGGCCTTCATCTCCAGGAGAGCTGGGGGTCTCTCTTCAGCTGGAGGCTGATCTTGAGTGTCTCTTTCCACAGGACCTCTATGACAGAAGAGTATAGGGTCCCGGACGGCATGGTGGGCTTGAGTGAGTGTGGGGCACCATATGAGGGTGGAGTCCAAGGGGCCACTGATGGGAATCCTTGGTCTGGGTGCCCTTTCCTGGCCTTTACCTTTCTTTTTCTACCACCCAGTCATTGGCAGAGGTGGTGAGCAGATTAACAAAATCCAGCAGGACTCGGGCTGCAAAGTTCAGATCTCACCAGGTATGGCCCTTCATCTAAAGTTGCCTGGAACTCTGGTGCAGAGCTGGCTCTGCTGGGTGGGTGCTTCCTAGGCTTGCACACAGCACTGCTACTAAGAGCAACAGGTGCCATGGTGGCTGGAACCCTCCTGTACTTTATATTTTTATTGTATTTATTTCTTTTGTGTTTGTGGGGAGAGCACCTGGCACAGTGCACACGTGGAGGTCAGAGGTCAACTCTGGTCAGGGTGATCAGAGCCTGTGGGTCTATACTGCTTTCTGGCTCTTTTTATCAGATGGGGTCCAGATATTGAATTCAGGTCATTGGGGTTGGTGATGAGTATCTTTGCTCCCTGAGATATATCCATACCTGTTTTTACTGTTTATATGTGGGGTAGCATAGGCGAAGGTGGACTTAGCATGGGGGCACCTCTCTCGACATGGCAGGCTCTATGCTGTCACCTAAAGTGCCATGGACTACAGATTAGTGCCGTAGAAAGCAGAGTGTCGGGGTCAGCCTGAGCTCTGAGGCTGCTTGGATCTGCTGTGGAGCACTCCTGTAGGGCCTTCCTCGGGATTTTCCCTTCAGACTTGAGCCAGGATCCCGGATGCTGCTAGGGAGCCCCAGAACTGATTTCTGGACTCTCCCTCTTCCCCTCACCATCCTCCTGCCTTGGTCTCGTGGTACTGGGTGATGGGGTGTGGTGCTCTGCATATTTACCTCCCAAGTTTCATCTTCCCCAGTGAGATTTTAAAAAGCAGCCTTTCGGGTGTCTCCTGGCAGGGGAGTGAAATGATTTGTCAGAGAGGGTTACAGACTGTTCTGGAAGTTTCCTGTCCCCACAGCAGCCCTCTGGGCACTGAGCCTCTCCTCTTCTCTGCAGATAGTGGTGGCCTCCCTGAGCGCAGCGTGTCCCTGACTGGAGCCCCTGAGTCTGTCCAGTAAGTTCCCAGCTGGGTCTCCTTTGGATGTTAGTGACACCTATGTGTGTCCCTCCCACCTGACCTGCTCCTAGAACTGTGTAGATGAGTTCACACCCATCTCAATCCTTGGCCCTTGCCAAATAGCTCACCTGAGCGGGGTATGCGGCAGAAGCACACTCTTGAGTGCTCACCCTGTTCTCTCTCCAGAAAGGCGAAGATGATGCTGGATGACATCGTGTCACGGGGCCGTGGGGGACCCCCAGGACAGTTCCATGATAACGCTAATGGGGGTCAGAATGGCACGGTGCAGGAGATCATGATCCCCGCTGGCAAGGCTGGCCTGGTCATTGGCAAGGGCGGGGAGACCATCAAGCAGCTGCAGGTGCGGGGCGGCGCAGGGCAGAACACTTGTCCCCACAGTCACCAGCGGGCCCCTGTCAGAGCCCACTTCTGACAGGCACTTACCATTGTAGGAGCGCGCTGGGGTAAAGATGATTTTAATTCAAGATGGCTCCCAAAATACAAATGTGGACAAGCCACTGCGGATCATTGGGGACCCATACAAAGTGCAGGTGAGTGCCCAGACAGCATGGTCTCTGGAAGGCTCCACTGTCAGGCCTGCCCTGGGGTCTTGCCTTGCTGCTAGCAGCAGCATTCTTTCCTTAGCCCTTCAGCTTCTTCACTGGGGTGAACAGCTCTCTAAGGGATGTGGAGAACCCTTACAGGTGCCAAGGGGATGGATGCTGGGGCAGTACACTTGCCTGTGCCCATTGTCCAGTGTTGTGTGTCCACAGCAAGCCTGTGAGATGGTGATGGACATCCTGCGAGAACGTGATCAGGGCGGCTTTGGGGACCGCAATGAGTACGGATCTCGAGTTGGTGGAGGCATTGATGTGAGTGCAAGCACTCCAGAGAGGTGGGCAGCAGGAGCAGGGCAGAGCTAGGGCCTCACCTGCTGACCCTATGCCTCCTGGCCTCCCAGGTACCTGTACCCCGGCATTCAGTTGGTGTGGTCATTGGCCGGAGTGGAGAGATGATCAAGAAGATCCAGAATGACGCTGGTGTACGCATCCAGTTCAAGCAAGGTCAGTGGGCACCATCTTGGCCCAGGCACTAGTGTTGCCCCTGCCTCTCGCAGACCCTCAGTGCTTATGTATGGAAAGTTGATACCCAGTTCCTGTTGGTTGCTTTTTCAGAAACCATTGTCTCCCCAAGTTTAGCTAGTTCTGTGGACCCCAAAGGTGGGAAGACACTCATTTCACACTGAAAGGATGGGGGCATGTTCTGGGCAAAAGTCCACCTGCATGTTCATAGCAAGTCAGGGGAGCTGGTCTCCAACTAAGGCACAGTTTGGTAGCTTGACTTTGCTTTAAGTAACTGTTTCTTGGTGTGAATGTCAGATGATGGGACAGGCCCTGAGAAGATTGCTCACATCATGGGGCCCCCAGATCGGTGTGAGCATGCAGCCCGGATCATCAATGACCTCCTTCAGAGCCTTCGGAGTGGGCCCCCCGGTCCTCCAGGGGCCCCTGGCATGCCCCCTGGGGGCCGGGGGCGGGGCCGGGGCCAAGGCAACTGGGGCCCTCCTGGAGGAGAGATGACCTTCTCCATTCCTACCCACAAGTGTGGCTTGGTCATTGGCCGAGGTGAGTCCCTGAGGCTCTGCCCTTCCCTGCCTGGTTCTGCACTTGTCAGCCCTTCACTAGCTGTCATCCCACAGGTGGTGAGAATGTGAAGGCCATTAACCAGCAGACGGGCGCCTTTGTGGAGATATCTCGGCAGCTGCCACCCAATGGGGACCCCAACTTCAAGTTGTTCGTCATCCGGGGCTCACCCCAGCAGATTGACCATGCAAAGCAGCTCATTGAGGAGAAGATAGAGGTGAGTTCCATGGGGTGCTGGTAAAGGTGCCCCCCCCCCACACACACACACCTTGGTCCACTCACCACAGCTGCCACTTTTTCCTTCAGGGTCCCCTCTGCCCAGTTGGACCAGGCCCTGGAGGACCAGGCCCTGCTGGACCTATGGGGCCTTTCAACCCTGGACCCTTCAACCAGGGGCCTCCAGGAGCACCCCCACAGTGAGTATTCCTTGGCTTCCTGGGTTATGTATGGGCTTGTGGAGCCCCTGGCACAGGAGGGACAGGCCCTGCCCCTCAAGCACAGGAGGAGCTGTGTTCAGTCTGTTTGATAGGTGCCCTGAGAGACTGCTCTGCCTTTGTCCTTGGTCTCTATCCTGTGTGTCAGCCCCAGCTTTAGGTGTGGTAGGGGCTTCCATGTTGACACTCTTGAGCCAGCTCTCATGACTACCTGTCTCCTCCCCTGCAGTGCCGGTGGTCCCCCTCCTCATCAGTACCCGCCTCAGGGCTGGGGCAATACCTACCCCCAGTGGCAACCGCCTGCTCCCCATGACCCAAGTAAGTGTCAGTACCATGTAGGAGATTTGGGGGTGACATCAGACCGACTGCCGTGCCCTCCCTCAACCGACATCTCTTCCTGTAGACAAAGCTGCTGCAGCAGCTGCAGACCCTAATGCTGCCTGGGCCGCCTACTACTCCCACTACTACCAGCAACCCCCGGGCCCTGTGCCAGGCCCTGCCCCAGCCCCTGCAGCCCCACCTGCGCAGGGGGAGCCCCCCCAGCCTCCACCCACTGGCCAGTCGGATTATACCAAGGCCTGGGAAGAGTATTACAAGAAAATTGGTAAGTTCAGCGCCAGGGTGCAGTGGGGTATTCCGCACAGGATCCAGCTACCCTGACACCCTGTTCTTCAGGCCAGCAGCCCCAGCAACCTGGTGCGCCCCCACAGCAGGACTACACCAAGGCCTGGGAAGAATACTACAAGAAGCAAGGTGAGCTGCCAGGGATGGGGCTGTGTGTGGGTATGGGTTCTTCTGCCAGCCGCTCATTGTCCTCTCTGCCCATAGCGCAAGTGGCCACTGGTGGGGGTCCTGGAGCACCCCCTGGCTCCCAGCCCGACTACAGCGCCGCCTGGGCTGAGTATTACAGACAGCAGGCCGCTTACTACGGACAGACCCCAGGCCCTGGTGGCCCACAGCCACCTCCCACCCAGCAGGGACAGCAGCAGGCAAGTGGGAACTGCCACCCTCCTCCTCCTCCTTTCTCCTTCCAACCCCCGGCCACCGTCCATCCTGCCTTAGTGGGTAGCGCCGGAAACCCTTTCCCCTGCGGGGTGTGCCCTTGATGCCAGCCTCGGGCGCGTGGCCAGAGTCTCCCGGAGCCCCGCAGCCCCGCCGCTGGGAAGCGCCCACCTGCTGGGTGCAGAGGCTCACGGAAGAGGCTCCTCCAGCAGCCGCAGCCGCTGTTGGTGCAACGTTGTCGGGTGCTGGGGGCACCGGCCGAAAAGGTGGAACTCTGAACTGCTGGGGTGTCCCGGGTGGGGGCAGAAAGTGGGGACTGCACTGGGCGCCATGCCGGTTGTCGAACCCACTCGCTCAAAATCTGGCCACTTGGGAAGAAAATGTCTATTTTTTTCCCCTTCTCAGCATCACTATTTTGGGTTTTGTTCTTTTTTATTCTTTTATTTTTTTAAAGACACCATCTTTATCCCCCATGTCCAAGTAACTGCGTGTTGCAGGCGGCCTTGGCTCTGCTGGGATGGAGGGGAGCCCACTGAGGGGACTGGGCCCTCCCTGCCTGGCAAGGCCACCTCTCGTGCACTTGCCTCTGTGTCCCAGTCTTGTCTGTGAAGTGGGCATGACGATCGTTGCCACCTTCCAACCTACCTCACAGGGGTGTTGTGGGGACACCATGATCTGAATGTTGTGACGCCGAGCCGCCGCCTCCCTCCTCTGCCCCCTCCTCCCCACCCTGGCACTTCTCCCTTGTGCGCCCCTTCCATGCCTCTGGCTTCTGCTGCAGACCCCTTCTCCTCCTCTTCCTCTGCTTCTCTTCCACCAAGGAGCAGTCTGACTTCAGCAGAGTCCCCAAGACAGACAGTCACAGCCCCCTGCCTGGCCTGTGCGGGCTTGGGTCCGGCCTCCTGGCCGGCTGCCTGGAGTCGCAGCCTCTTGCAGCCCGGCCGCCCTCCTGCCATGACCATTCCTGTCTCTCCCTCTCCGCAGGCAATTGAAGCAAATGGATATGAACTTCATCTGTGAAAATATTTTTTTCCCTCCATTTTTGTTCCATTTGGGGGCTTCTTTTATTGGTTTCTATAATTTGATTGGTTTGGTGAGAGAGCAATGGCTGCCCGGGGTGCAGGGGGGGTCCCCCTCATGCTGAGGCGTTCCCTCTCTCATTCTGTGTGTCTCACATCTTTTCCCTTCCAAAACTGGGATCCTTCATGTTGAGCCAGCCTTAGAAAATAGTGAGAATTTAACCTCTGCCAAAAAAAAAAAAGTTTAAAAATTAAATCACAAAGAGCAGAACAAAACCTATAAAATGATATATATATAGAAATATATAAATCTCTATCCCCCTAGCCTCTGAGCCCACCCTCTGAGGGAAGCGGCTCACTTCCTCCCTTCTGCCCGGGGCCTATTCTTGTTTTTAAATAAACTTTTTAAAGGAAAGAAACAAGTCACTCTTGCTATCTGTTTTTCGGGTTTTTTTTTTTAGTTAGAGTTGGAACATTCCTTGGACCAGGTGTGGGTGTCGCAGGCCCCTCCTGCCCTACCCTTCTATCTGTATCTCCCCTCTCCCTTTCTCTCTCCCCTCTGCTCTTCCCTGGCTCCGCCCCATACCCACCCCAACCCCAGGACTGGCCTGGTACGTTGTCATCTGTTGAGGATGAGATAAACTGAGAAAATGAGAACAAAACAACAAAAAAATTGTATGGCAGTTTTTACTTTTTATCGCTCGTTTTTAACTTCACAAATAAATGGTAACAAAACCTCCCCGTGTCTTACTGGCTGCCGTCTGTCTTCCACCCTTCAAGTAGCAAGTAGACCTCTGAAGCAGATGACCTTTGTAGGTGTTGTGAACATAACCCTGGTGACAGAGGTGAGCGACTTCATGTGGGGATTTTATCTTGGTTTTTAGGAGAGTTTGCAGGCCTGCCTTTTCCTGACCTCCCTTTTTATTACACACGGTGAGTGGGGTAGAGGCGATGAGTGAGGCTATCCCCTTCCTTTTGGGGAGCCTGCCCAGCTGTCTGAACTCTTTCCCTCTGGGACCTGGGGAACCAGGCACTGAGGATGATCCCTGGGGTGCATGTTCCCATGGATGTGGCCACACTTGTCACTAAGGCTGCTTTGTGGAAACACCCCATTGGGGCACAGGCCTGACTTGCCTGTGTGTGGCTAATATTGAGTGGGAGTAGAGGTCAGGCCTGCATGAGTAAAAGCCACTTGGGATCACGGACAAAGTGGGTAGTGCCAAGGGCTCTGCGGCAGTGTGCCAGCCCGTGAAGTTACCTTTTGTGATCAGAATCAGTCAAGGCCAGGGAGATGGCATAGCAGGTGAAAGTGCTGGTCCCAAAATCAGGTGCATTGACTCCCTTGTAACCCCAGCCCGGCGGGGGGGGGGGCTTATGGGCCACAGCATCAGGACCAAAAGAACCCACTCTCCAAAGCTGCCTTCAGAACCCTTGCAGACCATGGCACACTACAAAATGACCAGTGTCCACATGATGCAGTGAGAGCTGCACCTCTAGGTGAAGGTAGTTCCCCTCTGGCTGTGTTAGGTGCCTGTCTGCCCACAGGGGCCCTGTTATCACCAAGGTCTCACCTCACAGGCTTGGGTCCTGTGTACTGTGGGGGATTAAGTAGGCTGGACGTTGACCCCTCCTTGCCTCACTGCAGACTCTCAATGACCAAGCAGCACTTGACAAAAATGCTGTCGGGGGCTTCTTCAGCCAAGATCTAGGGGAGAGGGAACCATGGGATCAAGGGTACAGCCCATGGCAAGATCTACGCTCCCATAACTGCTTCAAGGCAAGCCCTGGTGTGAGCAGGTTTGCAGCCTGGGTGACAGCAATGGGTATGAGGGGAATGGAGACCCCATGGATCAGGGAGCAGAAGGCAGAGTCTCCAATGCTTGTTTCCCACAGAGATAAGAACACCAAAGTCCATTACCTATCATTTCTGTGCTGAGCCAGGCGTGTGGGCAGCATCAGGGCTTCATAGCTACACAGGTAGCAGCATTGGGACCCCAATGCTTTCAGGAGCTAAGCACATCCAGTGGCTCACATCTATCATTGCTGGGGAGACATGAGTTCTAGGCCAGCCTGGGCTACATGAAATAGAATCCCCTCATTTAAAACTGGCTAAGCGGGGCCCCCTTCCAGGTACCCACGTTTCGCAGAAGGTTCTTTTGCTGGTAGAAGGCCAGGACAGGTTCACACAGGGTGTAGTATGTTTCTAGACGCTTGCGGATGGTCGATTCTGAATCGTCTGCCCGGTGCTCCACCTGTCCACGTCGCAACACCCTGCGCACCATGGTCTCCATGGAGCAGTCAAACACCATGACTGCGTTGGGGGCCCTGCCCACCTATGCAATAACCAACAGGACAGGGTGAGGAAAGGGTCTTGCACAGGGTCCCAAGAGGCCATGAGCTTGGGGAAGAGAGAGAGACTGTGTGATATAAGTTCAATGCCTATGGATGCCAGAAGAGGAGGGCTTCAGGGCCCTTGGCAGTGGATGGTGTAGGAGTGGAAATGAGTCACCTACATGGATGCTAAGAACTTAACTCCGGTCCTCTAGAAAAAGCAATATATACTCTTAAACATTTCTGAGCTTAACATTGTGGTGCATGCTTTTAATCCCATCACTTGGAAGGCATGTGGATCTCTGAGTTGGAGGCCACTCTGGTGTACAGAGTGAGTTCCATGAAAACCAGGGCTACACAGGGAAACTTGGTCTTGAAAAAAATACTTTTTATTTCTAAGAGAGGGTCTTGAACGTCCAGACCTATCTGCCTCTGCCTGCCCAGGGCTGGGATTGAAGGGGAGTAACACCATGCCTCCCTGGCTCAATACACAATCTTGACTGCTAAGCTTTCTCTGCAGCCTGCAACCTTTGTTTTTTTTGTTTGTTTTTGTTTTGTGAGGTTTTTCGCTGACTAAAACTTTACAAGCAGGCTAGACTGGCCAGTGAGCCCCAGGGATGTTCCTGTCTCCCTTGTTCAAGAGCTGAGATCAAGCATATGTGTCACACCCAGATTTTTTTGTTTTTTCATTTTTAAGATTTATTATATATACAGTATTCTGCCTGCGTGTATGCTTACATGCCAGGATTTATCATATATACAGTGTTCTGCCTGTGTGTATGCGTACACGCCAGAAGAGGACATCAGATCCCATTATAGATGGTTGGGAGCCACCATGTGGGTGATGGGAATTGAACTCAGAACCTCTGGAAGAACAGTCAGTGCTCTTAACCTCAGCCATCTCTCCAGCTTCACACCCAGGTTTTTATGTGGGTTCTGGGCATAGAACTCAGGCCCAGACACTTGCAACGCCAGCTACTGACTGAGCCATAACATGTACCCTTGGTGTACTTTGGGAGACAGGGTCTCATGTCACCCTAGCTGACATGGAACTCCTGATCCTCCTGTCTCCAATGCCAGGGGATGAAATACAGGTGTGCACAGCCATACTGGCTATGTTCTTTTTATTTATTTACTGTTATCTCTTTAATTATTTTAAGACAAGGTCATTCATTTTATATACCCAATGCTGGCCTTAAACTTAACATTCCTCCTGCCTCAGCCTCCTGAACGCTGATACCATAAAGCCTGTTACTTAGTTATGCCATTTTGCTTTCCCCCGCCTTTCTTTTTAGATAGGGTTGCACAATATAGCCCTGGACCTGGCCTTGTAGAGCAGGCTTTCCACAAGTTCATATCCAATTCATACCCACCGGCCTGTTTCCCAGGTGCTGGGGTTAAACGTGTGCTACCTCACCTGACCCTTTGTTGTTTTTCTCTTTTTTTTCCTCTCCTTTTTCTTTTGGACTGTCCTTGAACTCTCTATGTAGCTAGAATGACCCTGAACCCCAATTGTCCTGCTCCCACTTCTCCAGACCAGTCCTGGGATGGCAGGTGTACACCACCATACCTTGTTTCTTGCTTCCACACATCCTTGAGCTGATACTAATGGGGGTTCACTTCTACACAGGCTCTGGGGATGGAGCTCAAGATTTTGAATATAGGAAGCCAGTGCTCTGTCCTCCAAGTCCATCCCCACCCAACCCAAGGCTCGATTTGCAGTAGTGGGCATTGCATGTGCAGAACATGTAAGACAAACATGGAGAAGGGTAACGGTTCTCTGCCCCTTCCCCTGTCTCTCCACTGGTCCTGCCCTGTAGGTGTCAAGTCATCTGCTGCTCAGACCTCCAAAAGTCATGGCACCTGCAAGTACGGTTCTGGGTTTTCATTTTTGTTTCATATTCTCTCTCTCTCTCTCTCTCTCTCTCTCTCTCGTCAGGCTTGGTGGCAAGCACTTTACCTGCTGAGACATCTCACTGGTCCCTCTTCATCCTTTTTTTTTTTTTTAAGATTTATTATGTATACAGTGTTCTGTCTGCTGTTTGCCTACATGTCATAAGAGGGCACCAGATCTCATTATAGGTGACTGTGAGCCACCATGTGGTTGCTGAAAATTGAACTCAGGACCTTTGGAAGAGCAGTCAGTGCTCTTAACTTCTGATCCGTCTCTCCAGCCCACTCTTCATCGTTTTTAAAAATATTTTTTAGTCTACGTGTATATGTGTGTGCTACACATGAGCGCTCGTACCCACAGAGGAGTGAGGTGCCCATGGAGCTCGAGTTGCAGGCAGTTGGGAATCACCTGAAGTGGGTGCTGGGAATTGAACTCAGGTCCTTTGAAAGAGCATTGAGTGCTCTTAACTACTGAGTCATCTTTTCAGCCAAAATCTCTCCTTCCACCCTCCTTCTTTCTCTCTTATTTTGAGAAAAAAAAGTATTCTCTGTGTAGCCCCAGCTGTCCTAGAACTTTGTAGACCAGGCTAGCATCAAACTCAAAGAGATCCACCTGCCTCTGCCTCTGAGTGCTGGGATTAAAGGTGTGCACCACCACTAGTTGGCAAGAAATCTATGCTTAGGGCACATTCTTAGCCCTCACTGGGGGATCCTAGGCAGGGGCTTTACCCCTGAGCTGTATCTCAGCCCCTCTCTTGGAGACTTTGTGGGTGTCAGAGCACCACCAGGCTTCAATCTTCAGGTCTTTAAGACAAAGACTTATTCTGTGTACATATCATAGAGTGTACCCATGTGGTACATGGTTAGGGCTCAGTTGTAGAGTGCTTGTGTCCTTGGAGAGGACCTCATCCTCATGAGGGCTCACAACCATTCTAAGTCCAGTTCTAGGGGACCTGACGCCATCTTCAGACCCAGACCTCAAAAGGGCCAGCCAGGCACATCTGTAGTGGGCACACAGACGTGCAAACAAAATACTCATATGCATAAATTTGAATATCTAAAAAAAGGAATTAACTGTTACTGTCCAGCCAACAGCTTGCTGTGATGTTGCATGCCTGTGTTTCTGGCATTCAGTGGGCCTAGGCAGGAGGACTGCAGAGACTTCCTGGCCAGCCTGACCACACAGAGAGATACTGTCTCCAGAAAAAGCAAAAAACAAAGCCAACCAGATGGACAGTGCTGTCTCGCTGTCCTTCCAGGACTGGGGAAGTGGAGGCAGAGGCATCGACATCAATGTCATCCTTTGGTACTTAAAAGTTGAAGGCCAAATCCAGGCGGTGGTGGCGCGTGCTTTTGAATACACGCCTTTAATCCCAGCACTCGGGAGGCAGAGGCAGGCCTATCTCTGTGAGTTTGAGGCCAGCCTGGACTACAGAGCAAGTTCCAGGACAGGAACCAAAGCTACACAGAAAAATCCTCTCTCAAAAAAACAAAATAAATAAATATATAAAATAAAATAAAGAAAAAGAAAAGAAAGAAAATAAAAGAAAAAGAAAAAACACGAGACACTGAGGACTGAGGCTACTCCAGCCTGTCTCCCAGCCCACAGTTCCCTTTGGGTTACACAGTTCCACATGTTAAGAATCTGACCGATATTTAAACAAGAGGCAGGGATGCTACTTCTGCAGCAAAGCTCCCAGCTTCTCATAAAACCACTGGCTTGGTAACATAGGGCCTGCACGTCCCCATGGCAACAGCAGTGGGAATGCTTACTGAGCTCATTGGCAACACTCTGCATGGTAAATTCACCCTCTGGATTCTTCCATCAGCTTGCACCGCCAATTGTGCCTTCCACAGTTGTTCCCCACCTTAGGTATTTTTTATGACTTAAAAAATATTTGTGTGTGCATGTGTGTGAGCCGGGTGGTGGTGGCACAGGCCTTTAATCCCAGCACTCAGGAGGTAGAGGCAGGCAGTTTGAGTCTAGCCTGGGCTACACAAAGAAACCCTGTTTCGATAAACAAACAAAAATTTAAGTGTATAAGCTTTCCCTGGGTGAGTTTATGTGCACCATACACACAGAAGCCTGTAGGGGCCAGAAGAGGGCATCGGGTCCCTTAAAACTGGAGTTGCAGGTGGTTGTGAGCCACCATGCAGGGAGCTGAGCTAGAGAACAGTTACTGCTCTTAACTGCTGAGCCCTCTCTGCAGCCTGTTTTGTTCAATTTTTATTGTTAGTTTGAGACAGCCTGGGCTGGCCTGGAAATCACAATACTCCTGCCTCACAGGCTCCCAGTGCTGGGCTTCCAGGCCTACGCCTCCATGCGTCCCCGCTTCTGACCCTTACTGTGCATGAGGAGGCTGGGCAGGGTCCTGGCAGGCAGAGGACTTGCCTAGCATGAAGCCCTGCCCGGGTTCCACCCTCTGGTGGCACGGGGCTGCCATCCCACACCTGAAAGGTGGAGGCAGGAAGGTTAGGACTTCAAGGTCAACCTGTTCAAGTTGTGAGTTTGAGACCAGCCTAGGGTACGAGAGCTGAAAGAAAGGAGGTCTTCCAAGTCAGGCCCTCAGGCATCATCTATTAGGGCTTTGAGAGGAGTGGGGAGAGGGGTAGCCTGGAAACTCCACGCAGGCACACACACCCAAGGACATTGTGGGATCGGGGCCGGGACACTCACAATTCGCTCAAACTCTTTGGCCTGTTCCAGCTCTCTGGGGAAGCCATCGATGAGAAAACCGCTGCTCTCTGGATGAGACAATAGGCTGTCACTGACCATGTCCAGAATGAGACCCTGGGAAGGCAAGTGCATGGACTCGGGACTCAGTGTGCAGGCTCCGCCAGAGAGGCCAGGTGCTGCAGAGGCCATTCAGTTTGAACTTCATAGGAGACGGAAGCAGGACCCAGCACCTTTATCATTAGCTTCCTTTCTGCTTGTAGGTTTTCATTTGTTCTGTGCAGCTTTGGCTATCTTAGAACTCATAGACTGGGCTGGCCTTAAACTCGTAGAGATCCAACTGCCTCTTCCTCCCTAATACTGGGACTAAAGAAGTATGTCACCGCCAGGCTCAAGGTTGGACTCTTAATAGTTTATTAGATATTGCTGGGTGGTGGTGGCTCACACCTTTAATCCCAGCACTCGGAAGGCAGAGGCATTTGGATCAGATCTCTGAGTTCCAGACCAGTCTGGTCTCCAGAGCTCCAGGACAGCCAGGGCTACACAGAGAAACCCTGCCTCAAAAACAAAGTTTACTAGATCTCTTTATTATGTATCTAGTTGTGGAGGAGTGGCACAAGTCCCACAGCATGTGTGGGGTCAGAGGACATCTTAGAGTAGGTGGTTCTCTCCTTCCATCACAGAGGCCCCAGGGACTGAGCTAGGTTGTCAGCCTTGGCTGCAAGTACCTTCACCCACAGTGCCATCTCTCTGGTCCTTGACATGGACTCTCTGCAGTCACGATACCACCAAACTCCTCATCCTCCTGACTCCACCTCCTGAGTGCTGGGTTGTCCAGTGTGCACAGTTTCTGCGGTGCTGGGGATGGGACCCAGGGTTTTGTGCATGCTAGGTGAGCACTCTACCAATCAACCTCTGCCACAGTCTTTAACATGACTTTTTTTGGGGGTAGAGTTTTATTTATTTATCCATGTCTACATGGATGTCTGTGCATGTGTGCATGTGCGTAGAGCCCTCAGGCTAGAAGAAGGCGTCAGATCCCCTGGAACTAGAGTTACAGTTGTGAGCCACCATGTGGGTCCTCGGCTGGAGCAGCAGACGCCCTTAACGGGTCCCACATCACAGCTTCTCATGATGACATCAGCATGACAAGGCACTGGCTGGGCCAGGACACCCTGGCGTCATGGGGATTCTGTCCTGCTGTGCCCCCCACATCCCTTGAACTCTCACCGTGGGCACCAGGAGTCCCTGCTGCATGATGTCCCGGATCTTCCGGCCCCGCTTGGTGCTCCTCTGAGCCTCCTCCCGCAGCATCTGGCCCAGCCCCACATGGCAGAGGCCGTACTTGGTGGCCATGTTTCTGCACTGGGTCCCTTTCCCGCAGCCGGGGCCGCCCACCACGAAGATGATCAGGAGGGACTTCAGGAAATCTATGGTGTTCAGGGAAGACAGAGCGGGTACTAGTGCGTGTCTTTATAGGGACCATGGCCTCACATCGAAGGGATTCGCACCTCTGGGATTCTCTTGAGCCATTTGCACAGACCTCCTCGGAGCACAGTAACTCCACCACCCCATTTTACAGAATATGAAAGGGAAAGGAAAGGTCCTCAAACTCATCCAGCCGCACCCTGCTCCGCCCACCTGAGGAGCTGCTGTCTATCCCGCCTGCTTGCGTCCCTGCCCTTCTCCCTGCCTCAGACCCTCACAGTCAGCCACGGTTCTCTCCCTTTCCACTCGCGTTGGTCCTCCTAGTCAGTCTCTGACGCAGGGCGCACGGCCTCTGATGGTGAAGAAAGCAATGTCTCGGCTACTAGACATATCTGTGGAGTCAGGAGTTTATGGTTCCATGTCTGTGTCTCCCCGCCGCTCCGCTTAACCAACTCCTATGCGTCCCGCTGGCTCCCTTTCTCTGATCGCTCCCTCTAGAGTAGTTAATTTCCATTTCGGAGACTGGCTTCCCTACCCGTCGAGTTATCTCCCAAAGGCATCAACAACGGTGGGGCGGGGGCATGCGCAGCTGCGCTTCTGCCCTGTTAGTGTGTGCACACCCCGACAGCGAGGAAGCCTGCCCCTCCCACGCCCCCTTCCCCGCGTTACCCTTCTTCTGGGGCCTCAGAGCTCTGCCCATCTCGGGCAGCGTGGACTCACACAGACCCATACCGTCCGCATGCCGTGCTACGCGAGACCCCGTCTGCACCCCACCCCTGAGCCCTCGGCTCCGCTCTGCGTCACAAGGGGCTCATGCTGCAAGATCCCCTGGACTCCCTCGGCACCGGGTCGCAGAGGAAAACGGAATCCCGCGCCCACCCCCGGAGGCGCCGCGAGAGCCCCCGCAGCGGAGCCGCCGCGGTTGCTACGGCAACGCGCCCTCAGCGCACGCGCGAGCGAGAGTGCCTAGGACACGCCTGCCAGGCGCCGTTCCCACCCTACCCAAGACGCACCGCGGTGCCTGCGTCGTGACATCACGGAGGGCGTGGCCGCGTGCCGTGAGTAACTCATTCACGCTAAAGAAGAGAACACTGGCTGAAGGCGACTTCGTTCCTCGCAGAGGTGGAGGCGAAGCTGAAGTGGATACTAAGGTAACTGCCATAAACGTGGCAGTTCTACTTCCGGGTCAGACTGTGACGCACGCGCCGAGAGTTTTTTTTGTTTTTTTGTTTTTTGAAAACTCTCTCTCCCAGCTTTTTCTGAGACTTAAGGGTTTGGAGATCAGAAACACAAGATCCTATTAACGTGACACGGAAGTTGCCTTCCCGGACCCAGGGACATCACGAAGAATCCGGGTCAAGCCGACCCGGAACCACTTGAACAACGGCCATGGCGACTATAGTGAGTATGGATGAGGCGGGATTTGGGGGGTCGCAGGACAGATCCGCGACCTCTTCTCGCCTCACAGACCCGTGCATCCTCTGCTGCAGGGCCCCGGCAACCAGAATGTCACCGAGTATGTCGTCCGTGTCCCCAAGTAAGTCACCCACGTCACACACTCCTCGGCCGGCTTCCCGCCCATGCCTCAGTAGCAATCACACCTTAGTTGATGTCAGCGTCGGCCACTTTGTCCTGTTTCAGACGCTCAGGCCAGACTGGTGGCCGCCTTTAATCCCAGCACTAGGGAGGCGGAGGCAGGAGGATCTCTGAGTTGAGGCCAGCCTGGGCTACAGAGTGAATTTCAGGACAGCCAGGACTACACAGAGAAATCCTGTCTCGAAAAACACACACAAATCCGAACTAGTCACAGATATTAGTTATACATCCTGTTTTCTGTGTCAAGAGTGCCATATCCTTCAACTCCTATCTTAGGTGTTACCCACCCCCTTTTATATTGAAGACAGTCTATTTAGGCTTTCTCTGTAGCTTAGGAGCCTGTCCTTGTCTGCCCAGCAGTATCTAAAACAACTTCCGCCCGAACAGGGACTTGAACCCTGGACCCTCAGATTAAAAGTCTGATGCTCTACCAACTGAGCTATCCAGGCTCTTGATGTCAGCCTTACTGTGTAGCCAGTCCTAGCTGGTTTGACCAGCCTGGGCTTGAACCCACCAAGACCCATCTGCCTTCACCCCTTGCCTGCTTGAGTCCCTCTCTACAGTAGAGGTCTTTTACATCTTTGGCCCACTTTTTCTTAAAGCTTTATTATTCTTTATGAATGTCTTGTCTGCGTGTACAGATATGCACTGTGAGCGTGTTTGGTGCCCGTGGATCTGGCTCACTTTTTCTAAGTGAGTTGGAGGAGATGGATCCAGCTTCTTAAACAGACAGGGAAACTCTGGAGCAGTGGTTCTTAACCTATGGGTCACAGCCCCTCGGGGTCAAGTGACCCTTTCATGGATGTTGTCTAAGACAATTGGAAAACATATTTACATTATGATTCGTAGCAAAATTACAGCTGTGAAGCAGCAGCAAAAATAATTACACGGTTGGGGGTCAGCACAGCGTGAGGAGCTGTTAAAAGGTTGAGAACCACTGTTCTGGAGTCTTCTATGACTCCCAGCATTACCTACAACCATGCTGCAATCATGGTGGGTTTGTTGAATGAATAGTAGGTTGAATTGTCTTCTCCATTCCAGGAACACAACCAAAAAGTACAACATAATGGCTTTTAATGCAGCGGATAAGGTCAACTTTGCTACCTGGAACCAGGTGAGTCTGTCATTCTGGGCGGCTGGGCAGGGACATAAAGGGGCTGGTGGTTGCAGTAATCAGTTTCCTGAAATGATGGTGGCCACACCTATAATCTAGCAGTCGTGCGATTCCAGCTGCCCGGAGGAGGCTGAGCAGAGATAGTATTTTACACTGGCCTGGCTGCATAAATCCTGTCTTCAAAAAAAAAAAAGAGCATGGTAACAAACATCTGTAATCCCAGCACTGGAATTTGGTGGAGTATCTTAAATTGAAGAGCATCTTTGGCTACATAGTGAGCTCAAATGAAGCCTAGAATACATGGACCATGCCTTAAAAAGGATAAAGTAGGGAACAGCAAGATGGCTCAGCAAAGTAAAGAACCACCTCTCCAGATTTGTCTTCTGACTTCACAAACATGCCATGACGCATACAGTCTCCCCAACAACAAATATAAATGCAGTTGAAAAGTTTTTTAGCTGGGTGGTGGTGGCACATGCCTTTAATCCCAGCACTCAGGAGGCAGAGGTAGGCGGATCTCTGTGAGTTCGAGGTCAGCCTGGTTTACAGAGTGAGTTCCAGGACAGGCTCCAAAGCTACAGAGAAACCCTGTCTCGAAACCCAAAAAAAAGTTTTTTAATGATAAAGCCTGCTTGGTGTGATGGCACATACCTTTAATGCCAGCTTGGGCAGTAGAGGAAGGAGGATCTTCCTGAGATTAGTGCCAGCCTGGTCTGCACTGAGTTTCAGGACAGCCTGGCTATACAGTGAGACCCTGTCTCAAAAAGATAAAGCCAAAACACAAGATGGACACAGCCACCAGGATCGTTATCACAGCATCAGGGAGGCAGATGAGTCGTAAGTGTGAAGCCAGTCTGGCTAAACAACAGGATTTTCTGGTTAATAGTAGCCAGGTGGCAGAAGCAAGCACCTTTAATCCCAGCACTCAGGGAGCAGAGACAGGCAGATCTCTGAGTGGAGTCCAGCCTGGTCTCAGAGCGAGTTCCAGGACAGCCAGGGATCCACAGAGAAACCCTGTCTCAAAAACACCAATAAATCAGAAAATTTAAAGACCAAAGTTTTAAAGTGCCCACCCACTATTCTGGGTGCCATGTTAAAATGTATTTCCATACCGTCTGGGTTGCTCCTGTCCATCTCCAGGTGGGCACTGTCTTCCTTTAATCTCTTTGTACATGTGCCGTGTGTAACCCCGCACTGGTGTGTGGGCTCCCGCGGGTCTGTGAAATGAAGACTCAGACACACGAGAATGAACTCAGCCTCTGTGGCTCCAGGGCTCAGTCTCAGTGACCTGGAGCCATTTCCCTTTGCCTCTTGGAACCTTTATTTATTCCTGTGTTTACACTTCAGCTAGTAGATTTCTATATCTCAAAACAAACTGAATGAAGCTTCCGAAAATACAATGGCAGGTGCAAATCCCTGATTCATGAGGTACCACAGTTTTCCGGGTTTCCTCTAAACCAAGTTTTGCATAGGTTTTGTATCCGTGGGAAACTCTCGGACAAGGTCCACAAAAGGTATCTGTCACACAAAGGATGGATTAGGGGCTGAGTGAAAACTCCACAGCTAGGCCTGGTTTAGCCCAGTGGGAGTTTATGGCTAGCAGGGTTACTTACTCTGGCATCAGGCCGGCATGACATTATGCCACCTACGTGCTTCTGTGGTCTTCTGTCGCAGTCTGTTTTATTGTTATTCTGAGTTCCCCATTTCCTGTGGCCAGAATCTTGATGTGTATGTTGTTTGTGTGTGCGCACATGTGCTTGTGGGCGTGCTGTGCATGTCAAGGCCGGAGGTGACATCAGCTCTCTTCTGTAGTCACTTTCCACGTTGTTATCCCAGTGACATTTGTTGGGGTGCAGGTGTGTGTGGGATACAGTGTGCAGATCAGAGAACAGTTTTCAGGAGTCAGTTCTTGCCTTCTGCCTGCATTAGTTTTTGAGTCGGTATCTCACTGAACCTGGGCCTTGCTGTCTGTCCCTCTGATGGGGTCTAAGCTGCACAAAGGTACTGGGGATATGAACTCCCACTCCTTATGCTGGGAGCATACGGAACCCAGCACAGGGAGACAGCAGGGTGTTCTTGTGAGAGGCTGAAAGGCCATACCTGCTGCTCCCCAAGGCTCGGCTGGAGCGAGATCTGAGCAACAAGAAGATCTACCAGGAGGAGGAGATGCCAGAGTCCGGAGCAGGCAGCGAATTCAACCGAAAGCTGCGGGAGGAGGCGCGACGGAAGAAGTATGGCATTGTCCTGAAGGAGTTCCGGCCTGAGGACCAGCCCTGGCTGCTCCGGGTCAACGGCAAATCTGGCAGGAAGTGAGTGGCGCCGATGGTGGGGAGGGCCAGTTTGTGCTCTCACACATGCGTGCACACTTTAGGGGCACCTTCCCCAAGTGTGTTCCAGCAGAAGGGGCGTCCCAGTACCACCGCCCTGACCAAGGTTTAATCTTGAAGGTGAGCCAACTGGGTGTTGTTGGCCTGGCTCAGCAGCCTGAGTGTGGCCTTGAAATGAGGTCTTAATACTTGGGACCACCCTCTGGGAGAAGGCCATCCACGGCAAAGGAGGTGGAGTCTGATGGAGCCGGTGTCCTGTGCCCTTCTGTCCCAGGCATTCCTAGGAGAACCCAAATGGGTGCTGATGAGGTAGCTGGGGGTGCAGGCAGCCCTGTGGGTAGCGTTGTGACCTGATCTAGACTTTCCACAGGTTTAAAGGCATAAAGAAGGGTGGGGTGACAGAGAACACAGCCTACTACATCTTCACCCAGTGTGCCGATGGCGCCTTTGAGGCCTTTCCTGTGCAGAACTGGTATAATTTCACACCGCTGGCCCGACACCGCACACTCACTGCTGAGGAGGCTGAGGAGGAATGGGAGAGGTGAGCCACAGGGGTCGCACTGCGAATACCCTTGGTGCAGCAGGACAGCCGGGAGCTGAGTGAGTGGTGGCACCGTGGGTGGGCACAACTTCCCGATGGCAGCTGCCTAGGAGATAGAGTTGAAACGGATGCAAGGAAGCTGGGACAGAGAACTGGGGAGGCCCAGCATGAGCGTCCAGGGAGAGCTATGGTATTTATG